AAAAAAAAAAAAAAAAGTCGCATGCTCTACCAACTGAGCCAGCCAGGTACCCCAGATTTTTATTTTAAAAATATTGATTGAGCCCTTACTTTGTGCTAGGCCTTACAGTATTACATTTTAGAAATACAGCAGTGAACAAGATAGACACATGGTCTCTGCCTTGAGCTTCTTGTCTTTCAAGACAATTAAACAATTAACAAAGTGTGATGTATCATTAACATAGGGAAGTATGCTAAGGACTAGAGGTCTTCTGCCTGCATTTGAGTAAGGGCAGCTCTGCATTGACCATTTTTTTTTTTAAGATTTTATTTATTTATTCATGAGAGATAGAGAGAGAGAGAGAGAGAGGCAGAGGCAGAGGGAGAAGCAGGCTCCCCGCGGAGCAGGGAGCCTGATGTGGGACTCGATCCCAGGACCCTGGGATCATGACCTGAGCTGAAGGCAGACGCTTAACCGACTGAGCCACCCAGGCGTCCCTGCATTGACCATTTTTGTATTTTGAGATTCCAAGTCAAGATTTTCTTTGTAAATTTTCTCCACTACTACAGAAAGCTTGAAAATTCTTGCCATATATTTAATCTGAGTTTCATTCTGAAAGCCTATTATGTGAGTGAGTGAATGAAGAGACACTGCATATATAGTTATAACCCTGTAAGCATTACTATCCTCTTTTTATACATGAGAAAATAGTTACTCTCCAAAATCTTTTCCCCCCAACTGTATTGAGGAGTAATTGACAAATATAATTGTATATATTTAAAGTGATGATTCAATATGCATGTATGTGTATATATCATAAACATATATGCATGATGATTATAAATACATATACATTGTGGAATGATTACCAAGATGAAGATAATTAACACATGCTTCATATAGTTGACTCACATTGTTAATTCTTTTTTTGTGTGTGTGAATGCTTAAGATCTACTCTCAGCAACTTTCAAATATACAATACCATATTACTAACTATAGTTACCATGTTCTACATTAGGTCCTCAGAATTTATTCTTTTTATTAGAAACTCTGCACCCTTTGACCTGTATTTCTCCATTGTTCCCTCACCCCATCTACAGTCTTGTGACAATTAAATAGAAAGCCTCATTCCAAATCTCTGTACTCTGTACTACCCCACAGTGCCCACACCCAAAAGTGAAGAAATTTTTATTTCCCCTAGAAGAGCAGTCTCTAGTGAGATATTACAAAGCTTTGCCTTAGCTTTCTCCAATATGTAATTTTTTAAAAAATAGATTTTATTTATTTATTTACTTGAGAAAGAGTACAGGACGGGGAGGGAGAGAGACAAAGAGGGACAAGCGGACTTGGTGCGAAGCATGCACTTGATCCCACCACCAGGAGACCAAGACCTGAGCAGAAACCCAGAGTTGGACCCCCAACCGAGGTCCCCAGGCACCCCCCAATATGTAATGTTTTAAAGAAAGTAATATAGCATTCTAATAAAAGACAAAAACTACATTATCATTCTAATGAACACAAAGCATTTAGAAAAAATCCAACATCCATTCATGATAAAAACCCTCAACACCAAGATAGAAAGGAACTTTCTTAACCTTATGAAGAGCATGTACAAAGAGCTTACAGCTACTATCATACTTAACGAAAAAAGATGATGCTTTCCCCCCTAAAACCAGAATAAGACAGGGATCTGTGCTCTCAAAACTTTTATTCAACATTGTACTGGAAGTTACAGCCATTAGAAATTAAGATATAGCATGCTTATAATTAAGACACAGCTTTGTAGATGGACTATAGAAATTGATGATTAATAGAATATGATCCAAAATTACTGCCACAGGCTGAAAGATTAACGGAGTAAACACGAAATATAAATTAAAGCCAAAATTAATGTGTTCAGGCTGAAAAAGCAACAGGAAGATACAAAATTCTGCAAAAGCATTACGGAGTACCTACTGCGTGCCATGCACTAGAATGCACTAGAATCCTCACTAGGTGATTTGATTCCAGACCAAAAAAAATGTCTAGGCTAGACTAAGGCAAGATTTCCTGCGATCCCTAAACTCCTTTGACACTTATAAAGAATTCTCTAATTCGACTCTGTTAATTCTTCAGGATCGAGGCTGTCTAGTATACTTTTTTTTTTTTTAAAGATTTTATTTATTTATTTGAGAGAGAGAATGAGATAGAGAATGAGAGCACAAGGGGGGGAGCCGGAGAGGGAGAAGCAGGCTCCCCGCTGAGCAGGGGAGCCCGACGCGGGACTCGATCCCGGGACTCCAGGATCATGACCTGAGCCGAAGGCAGTCGCTTAAGCAACTGAGCCACCCAGGCGCCCAATATACTTTGATTTTCCATGGTTTCCAATAATTAGCACAAGTTTAATGTCCTTCTATTGGATGACCGCTTTGCTTCCGCTACCTGAGCCAAACTACACAGAAGCTAAGGAACGTTATTTACACATGTGAACAGCGCATTTCAGAAAGACAGTGCCCGTCACGGTGCCTGGAGCAGCCTGAAAATCTAACAATTCTCCCAAGTTTGGGAAGGCGTCCGAGTTTTCTGAGATTACTTCTCTGAGCATGCGCGGAAGTCACCCTTTGGGCAGTCTGCGGTTTTTTCAAATGATAAGGAGCAATCAGCTTCACTCTGCTTTTCCCGTTGCACCCACAAGCAAGTGACCAGGTGGCGAATTTGTCTTCGTTACAAGAAAATAAAGACCGCACTCACAGAAGTCCGAAAGCAGCCCAACACCCCATCTTCCCATAGTAAAGATGGCGGCCCCTGCGTCTAGGCTACAGGCAGTACTACTTCCGCGTTTCTCTTGCGCCCTCGTCCAACATGGCGGACGAGGCCACCCGGCGGGTGGTGTCCGAGATCCCGGTATTGAAGACTAACGCCGGACCCCGAGATCGTGAGTTGTGGGTGCAGCGGCTCAAAGAGGAGTATCAGTCTCTTATCCGGGTTAGTTGTGCTGCTGCGGCCGACCGCGTCGCAGAAGGGTTGCGGGTAATCAGGTGTTCTTAGGAATAGGCTCCGTGTGGAAGCCGCTTCCGGTTGTAAAATTTGACTCCCAGATTCAGAGAAGCTGGACGATTGTGGGGCTGGGGGAATTTAGTGAGGTATGTGGGGAGGAGGCAAAAGAAACTCTGTTTAGGTGCCCCATTGGGGCCAAAGCAGCAGTTATTTTAGGGATGCGCCCTCCCGGAAGGTGACGTGTCCCTCTGGCTCCAGGTGTTTGCTCTCCTGGATGGAGGGGAGGTGGTCAGAAGGCATTCCTGGGGCTCTAAGTCCCAGTCGCTTCTCTCTGTTCCCTCTTTTACTCTTCCTGAGGGAGGAACACACGCTAGGGCTTAAACTTCAAGTAAGCATTAGTTGCAGAGGGTTGAGGAGTTAAGCTCACGTTAGGCGTGAACCATCTTCTCAGCAAATCTCCCTTCTGTGGAGAGAGAAGACAGTTTATCTTCCTTGCAGTGGTCTCTGCCTGTTTCAACGGCCAGCAGCTCTCCTGACACACGTATTTATTTTCACTAAAACAAACAAACATATTTGTACACCTAGCACCTAGGGACGGGATCCAAATCCGAATAAGGTGGAGCCTACTGAGACAGATGGAAACAAACCATTATAATAACATTAAGGGGAAGGAAAGGGAGAGATTGCTAGAATGTTTTGAGAGCAGAAGGTGAGACACCCAATCCACCTTGGGTCTGGTTGGGGAAGGCTTCATAGAAGAGGCAGTGCTTGAGCTGAACCTCAAAGGGTAAACATAAGTCAGCCTGATAAACATGAGGATGAGAGAGGGATGTTCACGGCAAAAGGAACAGCATGAGCAAAAGCATGGAAGTTACAAACAAATGGCATGATGTGTATAAAGAAACATAAGTTCAGAGTTGCTAAAGCATCAAGTGTATGACAGGGAGTGATAGACAAGGCTTGAGAGATAGGCTTGAGTACTTGAATTTTATCTCGGAGGCACTTTGAAGTATTTTAAGCTGAAGAGTAACCTGCTCAGATTGGATTTAGACCAATCACAGTGAGTAGAGAGGAAAATAGAACTGAAAGAGATAAGATTGAAGGCAGAAAACAAATTAGGAGGCTGTCATTAATCCAGGCAAAATAAAGGTGATGACCTAAACTGGATAGTTTTAGAGAAGATAGAGAGAAGGGGTAGGTAGATTTGAAGAACCTTCAGACACCGTGAAGGATTGGTGGAGAGGAGAGGAGAGGGAGCGTCAAGGATGATTCCCACGGTTTGGCTTGCATTACTGAGTGAATGCTAATACTGTCATCTGAGATTGATGTAGTGGAGAAATGGTCTGAAGAACGGGGCAGGGAATGCTGAGTTTGAGGTACCTGTGAAATGAAGTTAGAAATCTCAGTATATAGGGCGCCTGGGTGGCTCAGTTGGTTAAGCGACTGCCTTCGGCTCAGGTCATGATCCTGAAGTCCTGGGATCGAGTCCCGCATCGGGCTCCCTGCTCGGCGGGGAGTCTGCTTCTCCCTCTGACCCTCCTCCCTCTCATGCTCTCTGTCTCTCATTCTCTCTCTCGCAAATAAATAAAATCTTTAAAAAAAAAAAAAAAGAAAAAAAGAAATCTCAGTATATAATTGGATATGGAGTCCAAAGCTCTGAGAAATGGTCTGGATTAAAATAAAGATTTGGAAATCAACACCATGTGGGTACTAGTCAAAACCAGGACTATATGAGATCCTCCAGGGAAGGAGTGTACCATAAAATGAGTTGTGGGCTGAGGGCAGACACTATCAGAAGTGGGACGAGAACCCAGACAATGTCATCAAGCATTTTGTCCTTGCTAAGCTGAGTGGGACCAACTGTTCTATTCTCTGCTCTGAGCAAGTCTCCTGCTTACCAGTGTAACTTTGTCTTCAACTTTGCTTATGTCAGAAAAGCTGGGTACATACTAAGAGAGAAAGTAATCGCATGCTTTTCTTTTGAGGGAAGAGGGACTGCCTTTGGCCTCAACTTTCCTCTCAAAGACCTCATTCTCTGCTTTTAGTATGTGGAGAACAACAAGAATGCAGACAATGATTGGTTCCGACTGGAGTCCAACAAGGAAGGGACTCGGTAGGCAGACCCTCTTGGGAGTTTTGGGGGTGGGAATCTTACATGGCTTGAGCATTTTAATGTCCCAAAGCCCACTGCCGGGCCTTCCCTGCCTCCTGTTAGCTGTCTCCACTCCCACAGTTCCAGAGTTCCCCAATTCCCATCCCATGAGTCTCCCAGAAGAACGGGCAGATTGGACTGAGGTTTGGTCTTTGTTATAGGTGGTTTGGAAAATGCTGGTACATCCATGACCTGCTCAAATATGAGTTTGACATTGAGTTTGACGTGAGTATGATGGAATGGGAAGTATGGAGGTTAGTGGAAGGGGAGGGATTAGGTGATTGTTAACAAGCTAACCTTTCTTGGAGGGACCAAAGAAAACTTTTAAAAGGGGAGGGAAATGCTGAGGTTTGAAGCAAGCATAGATTACAGCTACTCATCTCCATATCCACAATCCCAATGTGTACATGCTTCCTGGGGGGTTGGCGTCGTCAAACATTTCAGTTCAACCAAGAAATGGGTATTGATTAGATTAGTTCATTTCTATCCTGCTATCCTGCTTCTGTTTCATTAAGGCCTTGTAATTTCTCCAGATTCCTATCACATATCCTACTACTGCTCCAGAAATTGCAATCCCTGGACTGGATGGAAAAACAGCAAAGATGTACAGGTGGGACTCCATAGGAGATGGGAAAAGGACAAAGAGGACTTAGGAGAGAACTCTGGGACAGGAATTTTCCCAGAGTCAGCTTGCCTCAAGGGCTTCTAGGCCTCCCTCTGCCAAGTCTGGGCAAAGTACTTAACTAACCTTGTGCTCAGTTCTGATCACTAGTAGTTATATTGTGCTTCCCAGAGGCCACTATGCTTTATGGTAAACTTTGCATGTCAACACCTTCTTCCTCTTGTCCCTCTCTTAGGGGTGGCAAAATATGCCTAACTGATCACTTTAAGCCTTTGTGGGCCAGGAATGTGCCCAAGTTTGGACTAGCTCATCTTATGGCTCTGGGGGTAAGTTTGGGGTATTTGATATATAAGGGAAGGGGGAGGAATTAGGCACGGAGCGATATAAGAAAAGTAACTGAGAATAAACAAGGAATGACAAGTGTTTTCCTTGGGCATGTTCCCATAGAATCTCTATAGGAAGGAGCTTCTGATGGAGCAAGAGGCATCGACTGTGTGGTACTAATCTCACAGGGTCTCCCTTGTATTGCAGCTGGGTCCATGGCTGGCAGTGGAAATCCCCGATCTGATTCAGAAGGGCGTGATTCAGCATAAAGAGAAATGCAGCCAATGAAGGATCAAGCCACTGAGGCAGGACAGAGGGACCTTTGATAGGCTACGTTCCTGCTTTCTGTGCATCACTCTTACTCATCCAATTGCTTCCTCCCATACCCCTTCACCCATAATTGTTACTAAGTAGCTGCATCAGGCATTGCTGAAAAAAAGAAACAACAGCATTGCTACTGAATTTCTAAGGCTACACAGGGAGGGGAAAGACTGGGGCTTTGGGGAACCAAAAGGCAATTTGTATCCCTTTCCCAGGTGGAGCAATGTGAGATCCAGGAAGGATGGGAGTGCTGAAAGTGGGTGCATAGTCTTTTTGGTTTCTGGAGATAACTCATCAATAAAAGCTGCTTCCTCTGGTGGCCCGTGGTTCTCATTGGTGGCTGTGAAGAGAGGGTGAGCAGGCTAAGACCCAAAGCACGGTACAACTACATTAGTTTGGGAGGGAGGGGAAAATGGAGGAGGATGCTGTGGTCAGGAGCTGGTACAACTACATTAGTTTGGGAGGGAGGGGAAAATGGAGGAGGATGCTGTGGTAAGGAGCTGGGAAATGAAAGGAAATCTTGGACTGCTCTCCCTCCTGCTGAGATCTGCTTGCAGAGATCTGCTTGTGTCCTTTAGCGGGGTGCCTACTGCTTTGGTCTGCAAGATGCTTGAAGAATGGTTTTGCCGGACCAGCATTCCCCGCCCTCCAGGGATCTTCCCATCCCTATGTGGAGTGCTGGATGCTTCTCCACTGGTCTGCGGGCTGGACCCAGGCATTGCAGCGTCCCACACTCGCACCCCTGCTCCCTGGGAAGGATCTGTGCTGCAATCCTGGGGGCCATACTACGATTATCAGATCTACATCCCTATGGTTTGGAGCGATGGTTTTAAAACGATTCAGGGCAGATCTGGGAACCGGCGGTCCTAAAGTTGGCTGCGTTTCCATGGTGGCGGCGGCGGAGCCAAGGGGCGGGTTCACGCAAGCGCCGAGGAAGCAGGTGGGCGGATTCCGAGTGGGGGTGCGCAGGCGCTGTGAGAGGCGGTGAAGCCGGTGGCCGGTGGCCGGGCGGGACCAACAAAGATGGCGGCGGCCCCTGCGGCGGGAGAGATCTGGGCAACAGCTGCGGCTAAAGCTGCAGCCCGGCCCTCGGGGGGGCTGCACGGGGGTAGTAGGGGGTGGCCCTGAGCTGGGGCTTGGCCCCGGCTGGCCTCCCCCGCCGCCTCACCGGGGGACAGGTACGGGCCGGGGCGCTATGGCGTGGGGGGGGGCCGCGGGAAGACTGCTCCGGACCCGAGAGGACGCCCTCCACAAAGGCAGGGCGCGGGGGGCCCAGCAGGCCTGGGGGAACTGGGCTGGAGGGACAGCATCCATGGACCGCAGGGAATACGCCGCTGGACCCCGTAGCCAATCAGCGGCCTCGGCCTTTCTGCCCTCGAGGGGGGCGGACCCGGCTGAAGCCCTGCTGTGGTGGGAGAGGTGCGGAGATTAGGGTCGGGAAGTCGTTCTTCCTCCCTCCCCGCCGCTGCCCCTGAGCCCCGACACCTCGTTGGAGCTCAGGGGTGGGGGAGGGAGTGATTCGCAAATCACTCATTTAGTCTGCTTCATTTGCAGCCCAGAGGGACAGGGGGTTGAGGGTGGAATGCTGTCTTTTGGGTTGTTTTCCTGACATCCACACCCTCATTTGTCCAGAAATTCTGAGTGACCCAGGGCACATCCCACTTGATTAGCCAGGTGTGGGGGCCCTTGTCATGAGCGGTTAGATTATAAAGACAGCCGAGATAGAGACTATCATTGGCTTTTCAGTAAAGCTGTATTCTGCAGGAAGGGCGTGAGGAATTTAGAAAGAATCAAAGCAGTGGGCTGCTATCATTCATTCATTTACTCAATGGATACTAAGTATTTACTTTGTGTCAAACACTATGCTAGGCACTGGGGATACAATGACTGATATGATAGACACAGTTCCTGCCCTCAGTGTATGTAAAAGCTAGTGTGGTAATGTAGGTTGCCATCTCCCTCCACATTCAAATGCTGACCCTCTCTTCTCCTCCCAGGTCCAGCCTGTGGTGTCCACAATGCCCCAGGCCTCTGAGCACCGCCTGGGCCGGACCCGAGAGCCACCTGTTAATGTCCAGCCCCGAGTGGGATCCAAGCTACCATTTGCCCCGAGGGCCCGAAGCAAGGAGCGCCGAAACCCAGCCCCTGGGCCGAACCCCATGTTAAGACCTCTGCCTCCCCGGCCAGGTCCCCCTGAGGAACGGCTCAAGAAACTGGAGCTGGGACGGGGACGGACCTCAGGCCCTCGTCCCAGAGGACCCCTTCGGGCAGATCATGGAGTTCCCCTGCCTGGCTCACCACCCCCAACTGTGGCTCTGCCTCTCCCTTCCAGGACCAACCTAGCTCGTTCCAAGTCTGTGAGCAGTGGGGACTTGCGTCCTATGGGGATTGCCTTGGGAGGGCATCGTGGTACTGGAGAGCTAGGGGCTGCACTGAGCCGCTTGGCGCTCCGGCCTGAGCCTCCCACTCTGAGACGTAGCGCCTCTCTCCGCCGCCTCGGGGGCTTCCCTGGTCCCCCCACCTTGCTCAGTATACGGACGGAGCCCCCTACTTCCCATGGCTCCTTCCACGTCATATCTGCCCGGCCCTCTGAGTCTTTCTACTCCGATGACAAAATGGTGAGGACTTGCCAGCACACGTGGCCTTTCATGCCCATGTTCCTCTATGCCTCCAGCTTTCTTGCCATCACATGGCTTTCTTTTCCCTCTTTTCCCCAAGTTCCTTTCTCAATCCCTCATCACAGCAGCTTGGACTCTCCACTCCCTTACTTAAGTACCCTTGAGCTTCATAGACCTTTTTCAGGTTTTCTGTGACTCCCCAGCATGGTGTGCCATTTCAGTCTCCAGGGAATTAACCCAACCATTTGGAATTCCTCTCCGGGTCCCCGGGCCCTTACTCTCCCTTGCTTCACCTTCTCTCCTAGGATGCTGCCTAGGCCTAATTAATCTCTGGAGCTGAAGAGGGGCGGGCTCAGAATATCTGAGTTAGTGTGGTTGTCCATTTCCCGAGCTAAGTGAGCTAGGTTTGATTGCCGTTGGAACCATCAGGAGAGGGCTCAGGAAGGGGCCACGGGGGCGGGAGGGGGCTTTGGGAGAAGCAGGGTGGGTGTGGGGAGCAGCTGGGCAGCCATGCCAGTGCTTGGGGAGCTGCCCCAGGAGCTGCAGCGCCGGCTGGCTGGGCAGAGGAGTAGGTGGGGAACAGGTGGGACAGCCCTGGCTGAGTCCGTGGTACACTCAGCCGTGATGGGCTTACTGCTCATGGCCTGTGAGGTAGGGAGCCCCCAGGACCCTGTGAGGGAAAGAGGGTGGAGTTTGGGGGTGAGGTTCAGGGGTGGGAAAGCTGTGGGCAGCATGCTGTTGAAAGGTTAAAGTGCCAGGTGGGCTACATGGGAACCTGCCGACTCACCTCTGACCTTCCAGGCTCATCACACACTGCTTCTGGGCTCTGGTCATGTTGGCCTCCGAAATCTGGGGAACACGGTGAGAGCCACTCTCCTGCCCTTCGTTGCTAACAGGAATGTGGAATGGGGCTGGGGGAGGGGTGCTGACTTGGGGAAGATGGGGAGGGTGGGGAAGGAGAGCACTGAAGCTCTCCTAGGCTTCCTGGCCCTGGTCTGCAGAAATAATGGCCGTGTCTCTCCTGCTCCCCAGTGCTTCCTGAACGCAGTGCTACAGTGTTTGAGCAGCACTCGGCCTCTTCGGGACTTCTGTCTGCGAAGGGACTTCCGGCAAGAGGTGCCTGGAGGGGGCCGAGCCCAAGAGCTCACTGAAGGTGCGGCAACCACTCCTGCTCCCACCTCTCCAGTCCCCTCCCCAACTTCTGGGTCCATATGCCGGTCATGGCGGCCCCAACCCTTAAATCTGGTGGTTGTGTTGTTTTTTGCTGGTGCCTGCTTCCCTAGAGATTGTTTTCCGCCCTCTGAGCCTGCTTGGGCTTGCCTCTTCCAGTCATGAACCTCTGTTTCCCCACACCCACCCCAACAGCCTTTGCAGATGTGATTGGTGCCCTGTGGCACCCTGACTCCTGTGAAGCTGTGAATCCTACTCGATTCCGAGCTGTCTTCCAGAAATATGTTCCCTCCTTCTCTGGATACAGGTGGGAGAGCCAGAGGGTATGAGATTTCTCTCTGGCCATATGTGGGGGTTGGGCCAAGCCGGGGCCCTGGTAGCGCTGTTCAGAGCCTTCAGGTGTTCTTCATCCAGGAAGTGGGGACCGATGTCTGAGCAGGAGATAGTGTCTTTGGATTCGGGGATGGGGGTGGGGGAGGTGTCAGTTGCCCACCCTCTGTTTCTGGCTGTAGCCAGCAGGATGCCCAAGAGTTCCTGAAGCTCCTCATGGAGCGGCTACACCTCGAAATCAACCGACGGGGCCGCCGGGCTCCGCCGATCCTGGCCAGCAGTCCAGCACCCTCTCAACCACGCCGTGGAGGAGTGCTGCTGGAGGAACCTGAGTTGAGGTGAGGTCACTCTCCCTGGCAGTTTCTCAGCAGCATGCATCCTTCACAGAATGAGGATGGGAAAGGCTCAGTCCAGGGAAAGGCTCAACCTAGAAAATGGTTTGAGAAGCAGCGCAGAAGGAGGAGGAAGGAGGCTGAGGGGTGGGGATGGAGGCCGAGGCTAGGGTAGGGATGTCCTTGGGCTGAGGGAGAGGGGATAGCTAATTCACAGCCAGGCACATAAAGAGTTTAAAGCTCGGGGAAGTCAGCTATTCTTCTCTTGTCCCTTTCTTTTCCTCTCACCTTGGATTTCCCCCAAAAGTCTTCTGAAGCGTTACTCCTTTGACACTTCTCTGAAATGTCGAGAAAGAGCTGGTTTATGGGTGGGGTGCAGGACTGTGTGGGTCATTTCCGTGGTGCTGGGGTGCCCAGTGATCCCCCATCTCATGGGTGCTCCCTACTTCCCTTGATCTGCGGTAGTGATGACGACCGAGCCAACCTAATGTGGAAACGCTACCTGGAGCGAGAAGACAGCAAGATTGTGGGTACGGAGTGGGCAAAGCTGTGTGGGATGATTGGTGTATGTGGGGGTGCGGGCTTGGGAGAAGAATTGACACTGTGAAGGGGTGTGGGGACAAGACTAGACGATGAAAGTGTGGACGGACAGGGGTGAGGGGTTTGTTAGTGCTGGCGTTGGGAAAGGAAGGGACGGGCAGAGGGGTGGGAAGAGACGGGGACCCAAGGAATCTCAGACGCCCCACAGTGACTGTTTCTCCTGCCTCTTTGCTTCTATCTAGACCTGTTTGTGGGCCAGTTGAAAAGTTGTCTCAAGTGCCAGGCCTGTGGGTATCGCTCCACGACCTTCGAGGTTTTTTGTGACCTGT